TATTTTAAATAAACCCTTTTATTATTACCAATAGTTTTGTTTCATTTGCATAAAAAAAAATAAAAACAGTTACACCGAACAAAATCTTGAAGGGTTCGTCGTGTGAGAGAAATTCTCACGCGCGAGTTCTCGCGTAATTTTTTAAGGCGCGAGTGATGCAGGGTTAAACAGTAAGCTGTATTTACAAATTTCTTTTTAATGTTTATTGTAGCCTTAATATTCTTAAGGGCCAGAAAGAAATAATTTAAAAGAACCAAATGCTGTGCGAAATATTTGTAATTTTATAAGTGATGCGATACTTTTTTGGCGGAGTGTATTTTATGGAAGTTACCTGTTCTATTATTTGTGCCTTGGCACAAAAATGTACGTTTGTTGGTATCTTTCAAAATACTAGAATTTTAGGTTTAAAAAAATTTAGATGTAAACCGAACATTTCGCTATAACGAACTACCGCATTTATTATATTTTGTAGTTATTGTGCGTTGCGTATTATTAGGACTGTGTCATCAGCATACCTGATTTTGTCTATGCTGGTTCCGTTAATCTTGATTCCACCTTGAACGTCGTCCAATGATTTTCTGAATTTAGATTCCGAATACAGATCACATAATAGCGGTGATAAGACGCAACTCTGTCGCACTCCTCGTTGGATTCGTATATCGTCGAATGTTTTTCGACGCCATTTGATGTCAATATAATTCTGAGATAATTCGCAAGTCTTGTTCGTCAATAGACATGAGATATCATGCTTAATATTCGATAGTCCTCACAGTGTGAGGCAGTGGATTTTTTTTGGAATGTTACGAATGTTGATTTTAGCCAGTCTGATGGTATTTTAAATGTGTCATATATCTTAGTAAATCGTGTTGTTATTAAGTTGATGCTCTAACTTTCGTTGCTGCAAATAATTTAAGTAGTTTGGCATTAATATTGTCTGGATCGGTGGATTTTCCGTTCTTCTAAGCTTTTACTGCATAAATAACTTATTGTTATTTTCTTAATGTTATTTTCTTTTGTTCTTTTGTTATATTTGGACCTTTTTCATTTATTCGATTATCCGTGGATGGTAGAGAACAAGGTCTATCATGGTCAAAAAGTGTCTAAATGTATTCTTTACATCTCTCCAGTTTGTCTTCTGTACCTTTTAATTTTATTCTTCTTCTTCTTGATGTGCCTATCTGTTATGAATGTTGGCGATCATCATTGCAATCTGTATCTTATCTGCAGCAGCGCAGAAAAGCTGCACTCGTTATTATTATTTCTTAATATTGTTTCTTGTCTCCTTCCGTGTCTAGTGGTCATTTCTTTCACTATTTTTGGTTAAGAACCGATATTGGTAAAAATCAAAAAGGAACAAATTAATCAGTTTGGTCACGCGGTAATAATGGATTAAACTCGACTGCTAAAGCTAATAATATAAATGGAAAAGTGACCGAAAACAAGAAGAGGTAGGCTAAGAAAGAATTATCTGCACCAAACTGAATCTGCACCGAGAAGAGTATAAAGCTGAAAGAGGAAAAACCGTAGAGGAGGTGAAGAAATTAACAAAAAATAGAGAAAACTGAAAAATAATAAACCGGAATCATATTTCGACATCTAAAAGGGTAAAAGGATCGGGAAAAGAAGAAACAGAAAAATTATAAAAATACCGATTAGGTTAAATTTGCCTCAAAGTATTTACCATGCAAAGGAACTTGAATACTATCGGATTGATAACGGCTGTCGCTGCTTCTCCGCCCTCAATTTCCATCTTTTTCTCTCACATGCAGTTGCCTCTTCTAAGTCTCTTCCGCCATTGCTTCATCAATATCGTTGCGCGAACTTCTCCGTGGTCGTCCTCTCTTTCTTCTATCAGGAGGGATCCATTTCAGTATACTCTGGCATTCTTTTAACATGTCTCAACCAAATTAATTGCTTTATTTCTATGTCATCATTAATACTTGTTCGTTTCTTACTTTCTCCAGTTTCGATCTACGGCAGCTTAGTCTCATATAATCTATTTCTGTCATCATAAGTTTGTTTCTATTAGCTTTGGTGACGTCCCATAATTCCGAACCATAAAGTGTAATACATTGGACTATACTACCGTAAATGTGTTTTTTGCTTTCTCGTCAAATTGTTTTTTGCCAGAGAAGAGAGTTTAAGGCACGGAGCGCTGCTCTGCCCTTGTTTATTATTTCTCTAATTTGATCTGCGCTATTTCCCTTCTTGTTGAAAATGACCCCCAAATATTTGCAGGATTGAACGCATTTGATTTTGTCGTCTTCCAAGACTAGGTCACATATTTCATCTGTTCCTACTAAGAGATATTCACATTTTGTCATATTCATGTTTAGACCTGCCACCTCATATTCTTCTTGCAGTTTTATTACCATATAGCTAAGATCATAGCTGTCTTCGGCAATTACTACCTGGTCATCCGCAAATAAAAGTGTATATAGCGTATTTTCTTCCACCGTTATTCCCATGTTTCTACATTTTTTTACCCATTTCACTACGGATCTGTCCAAATAGATTTAAAAAAAAGTGGGTGACAAACAGCAGCCTTGTCTTAGTCCCTTTAATGTTTGAAAAGGACAGGTGATTTCTTGTCCCATTTTAATTCTTGCAAAGTGTTGTCCGTTGTATTTTTGAGTGGCTTTAATAAGAATTAGGTTTATTTTCATGTTACCCATTTCTGTTCATAGTTGGGAGATCGGTACACTGTCATATGCTTTTTCCAAATCTATTAAAACTATATGGGTTTCTTTATTTCTCTGCACTCGTTTTTTCATTGCAATTTTTAATGTGAAAATATTATCTATAGTGGAGCGTCCGGCCCTAAATCCCGCTTGTTCTTCGGGTTGTTTGTCTTTAATATCATTTTCTATCAGGTTTCGTAGTACTTTTGAGTATAGTCGGCCTATAGTAGCAATCACAGAGAGTCAACTTACTGAGCGTAAAAGAAAAGAGAATTGTTATTAAAAAATTGTCATTTTTGTCAAATAAGTTTTATCTAAGGTACCGTTGTCATTCGAATACAATACAGTACAGCGGATCATCTTCTTATAGTCAGAACTCTAATAGAGAAAGCCAATGAATATCACTTGAACTTATATATTGGCTTTGTTGATTATGAAAAGGCAGCTATGAACAACTGCAGGATAGACTCCTGATACATAATGCTCATACACAATATTTACAAGAAAGCTACAATGAAAATACAAATTGATACAAAAACCAAAGCTATATCAATCAACACAGTAGTTCGCCAGAGAGATGTTATCTCACCAAAGCTATTCACACTTAAACTTGAAGACGTGTTCAAAGACATTAACTGGGCAGATAAGGGAGTAAATATTAATGGAAGAAAACTGAGTCATTTAAGATACGCTGATGACATTGTAATATTCGCTACTACAGACCATGATGACGCAACTATTTCAACCTTCGGAACAATTACGACGTAAAATGAACTTGAAAAAAAAAAACAAAAATAATGACAAATACACCAAACATTACAGAAATAACGTTGAACGACATACATTTAGAAACAGTAAGCGAATATATCTACCTGAAACAGATAATGAAAATTAACAAAGAAAATCAAACTGCCGACATTACCAGAAGAATAAGGTTAGCTTGCGCAGGATTTGAAAAAAAACTGAGTTGGATCTTGAAAAGCATTAAAATAGTATTTGAAAACCAGAATTTACGATCAGTGTATCCTCTCTAGACTCACGTATGGTTCACAGACGTTGACACTCACCAAGTCAAATATGGATAAAATAGTAAAAGCACAAATAGCGATGGAAAGATCAATGCTCGAGGTGAGACATATAGACAAAAAAACAAACAAATTGATAAGAAGAAAAACTAAAGTGAAAAATGCAGTAGAACAAGCTGCCAAATTAAAATGGAGCTTCGCAGGATACAATGCCAGACTGAAGGATAAGAAATGGAACCACGAAATACAACAATAAATGCCATGGTTAGGAAAGAGAAGCAGAGGAAGACCACAAATGAGATGACATGCTGATGACATTAAGAAGATCGGAGGAGACAACTGGAAGAAAGCGGCGCAAAATAGAATACACTGGATTGATTTGGGGGAGGTCTATATCCAAAGTTGGATTACTTAAGGCTGAAGAAGAAAAAGAACATACTTGTATAAAAAACCAAATCCTTTTAAATTTTGGAGGTTACAAGCAGATAATGTACATCTTCTGCTGCCCTTAATTTAATGTCTTTAGATTTGTTCTAAGATAATTTAATAGTATTATTAGGAATTGTTTTTTTTAAAGAAGGATGCTGAGGAATTTACAGACACTCTTCTTTTTTGCTAGGATTAACTTCAGATTTTTCAAAGTAAAGTAAAGTAAAAGTAAGTGTCTATTACCTGAATCTTTCGCACCATATTGGTGCGAAATAACACAATGTATATATATGGGTATATACCCAACAATGCAAATTTTCAATGTTGAATATATAACCTCACTTTCATACACATCTAATAAATACATGTATGTGGATATAAAATAAACATGTAATGTCAACAGAACTAATTACCAAGAGAAGCCATTACCGATTATAAAATATACTACTAAATTTTCTCTACTTAAAATCATAGAAATAAGTTAAAAATGTACGCTAATCAATTTGTTTAATTAATAGGAACCTAAATCAATGTGAAAATAAAACATTTTGACTTTTACTAACTGCTGTGTTATTACGACCCTTTGGCCCCGATTTAATTAATAATTAAAAGTGTGAGTTTTTTGTCGTGATAGTGAAATTAATGCATAAATGTCCCTTAGTGTTTCTGAAAAACACTGATATCGACAATTACGGTACAATAAACCCGTTCACTAGGAGTATTGAAGTCCAATAACCCAGCCGATCAGCAGTTTCATCGATTAATTTTTACAAATATTGTAAATTTCTGTTTTAAAGTCAGTTGTTATTTTACACTGTTAGTTGTATTTGTAAAGGCATAAAGTGCTTAATTTATTAATACTAACCTCGTGATATCCCAAAGAACCTTTCATTCCTGTGTAAAGTCCCTTCTCTCCAGGTCCAGCAACAGGATCATAAAGTGAAGTGTGGTCCTGATCTAGAAGAGTAAATGTTCTACCGTAAGTAGCAACACCCATATTTATTTTAGCTGGATCAACATTCAGAGATAACCAATATTCAAGACCAGTAGCCTGTAACACAGAAATTGTCTATTAATTATGGATGAGCTTAGATTTATGTTATTAACTTAATAAATCAACATCTAAGTAGACAGTCATATAATATAATATAATTATTAATTACTGATACCATGGAAAGTTTGGTTTTATTCAAATGTAAATGTTAAATTTAAAGAACAAAATAAAAAAGTAGTATTTTGTATTTTGAGATCAATTTTCGAACTGCATACACATCGCAGTTAACATCCCTGGATATCTATATTAGAACTTACAAAATAAAAAGTGCTTCTCTCGTTATGATTCCTACTCTGAATCCAAATTGAACTTCACTCAGTTGTTTTTCTAATTTGGTGTATATGCGCAATTCAATGATAGTAAAGAATGCCTTATCATATTAATTATTCTATGTTCACATTTTCTAGCGTTGGCTTTTTTAGGAAGGACAATGAATATTGATAGAAGCCAGTATTTTGTGGTAAGTAACCAGTCTCGTAGATATTGTTGAATAGCTTCGTAAGAGCTTGTAACTCTAATAGCTTTAAAATTTCACCATGCACGTCATCAGGTTCTGGTGATTTCCTATCTTTAATCCGCTTAATGGTCATAGTTATTTCTTCGTTTGGTATTTCTGGGCCGTAGGGGTTATTTATTTCAGTCAGACTTCGTGCTGCATCTTCGAATAATTCTTGCATATATTCTTTCCATCTTCGTAATTTATATTTAAGGGTAGTCAAAATTTTTCCTCCAATAACTCCAACTATGCCTGTATTGCGTTGTTTTCTAGTCTTCTGTGCCTCTTTAATTTTTTTGTGCATATGGTAATCGTCATGTTTGCATTGTAGTGTTTTAACTTGTAGTGTTTCAACTTTCATACATTTTCCGTTGTCATTTCTACCTTTGAACTTTCTTCGCTCTTCCATCATCTGCAATATTTTATCTGTCATTCAATCTTGCTTTTTTTCTCTTTTGAATTTTAAATATTTATGCGAAATTGTAATAATATATGTCTTCATGTTGTTCCACTGTTCTTCCGTAAGGAATTCCGTAAGGATATCCCCATTGTGTTCTGGGGATATCCTTACGGATCTTTAATGTGGTAGTCATCCGGTGGCTTCCCATATTTCAATGCCGTTGGCTAATGTAGCTCTTCCATCTTTGGAGTCAATTTCTCAGCTCCAGGGCAATGAAGTGCCCTACCATATGTAAGTTCTTCCACCCGTAGCTGTTGACCAACAAAAGGAAGATTACTTTTACCAGTAATCGTTCGGTTATTTCGCTGTATCACAACCGGTTAAATCCTAATTACCGCCCGTAATTATTCAGTATCAGTAAAGAGATTTTTCTCTACCGCTCCGATCCTGGAATGACATAGCTGCTGCCCTATCCAATGCTCTCAGTTGATCTGCGTGTGTTTATTTGGCAAAACCTTATTCACACATGTCCCACATATCTGTAGAGCGTTCCCTATCAGCCATTGGGAGGCGCCGCGTTAAGGTTGAGAACTACCTCCCTTCGAGTGTGTTTTCCAAGAAGTACTGAAGAGCCTCTACTCAATTTAGAACCCCTTCTTCTTGAAAACTACACCAGCAAATCCGATATCGGATGGTAAAATGTTATATCCACTCTATTCTTCTTTATGGTGTCGAAGTCTGGACTGTTAATGTTGAGTTAATGAGAAAACTGGAAGCTATTGAGATGTGGCCTTTTACTTTTTAGGAGAATTTTGAACAAACCATAAACTGATCATATTACGAACGAAATTGTTTTGCACAGAATGGGAAGACACAGAGAACTTTTGACCACCATTAATAGGCGAAATATAGCATACTTGGGTCACATAGAAATGGTAAGTACGAGTTGTTGCAGTTGATTATGAAGGGTAAAATTGAAGGAAAAGGGGTCCAAGTAGACGACAAATATCCTGGCTAAAAAAAAATCACGACTGGACCGGGTTAAACACACAGACTCTCTTAAAAAAAGCAGAAGGTAGAGATGAATTTGCAATGGTTATTTATAGCCAAACTTCATAAGTGGAGTCGGCACTAGAAGAAGAAGAATTACACTTATAAATGCATTCTTGTAATCACACACGACTTGCTTATTCAGCACCGTACCTCAGCAGTACACTTCAAATTTACAAAACAATTGAACAACTACCCGATACTACACAATACACAATCTTGATACAGTTAAATATTTATTAACATTTTTTATTATTTAATATTAATTAATATTTATAATTGAAGAAAAACAGCAAATCGGAATATTGGTCGACATATTTAATACAATATACACTACAGGAATCATTCCCATAGATTGGCTGATATCAACATTCATAACACTACCAAAAAAAACCAAATGTAAAATAATGCCAAGACCACCGGATAACAAGTTTAATGAGTCATACGCTCCAAATATTTTTAAAAATTATACACCGGAAAATACACAACAAACTTGAGCAGGATATAAGTGATACACAATTTGGATTTAGAAATGCACTGGGAACGAAAGAAGGCCTGTTCGCTGTGAATGTTTTTGTGCAAAGGTGCATGGATGTTAATCAGCCAGTATACATGTGTTTCTTGGATTACAACAAAGCCTTCGATAAAGTCAGACATAACCGTCGTATCGAATTACTTGAAAAGAAAAACTTAGATATGAGAGACATCAGGATCATTAGCGCTATCTATTATAATCAGATCGCTGTGGTAAAAGAGAACAACGTCTTTTCAAATGGAATACAGATTGAGAGGTGCATCAGGCAGGGCTGTGTCCTATCTTCTACTTTGTTCAATTTGTATTCAGAGGAAATAATCCAGGAAGCACTAGAAGAACTAACCATCGGAATAAAAGTAAATGGCCGACCGATCAATAATATACGGTTTGCCGACGACACTATTTTATTATCGGAATATCTTGAGGATTTACAACAAATGGTTGATAGAGTAATAAAAGTCACTGAAGAAAACGGACTGTCCCTAAACACAAAAAAGACACAATTTATGGTAATTACAAAAGCCCAACAGCGCCAAGAAAACATAACAATACATGGACAACAAATTAAAAAAGTTGAAATATACAAATATCTGGGTACAATAATTAATGAAAATAATGAGTTAACAGAGGAGATTAAGGCAAGAATAGGACAGACAAGAAATTCTTCCAACAAACTGAAAAAAGTACTCTGCAGCAGGGACATTTCAATTTCTATAAAGATAAGATACCTAAGATGCTAAGTGTATTTCGTATTATTTTATAAGTTAGAGGCATGGGCTTTAAAGAAAGATGTTTCGGACAGATTGGAAGCCTTCGAGTTATGGGCTACCAGAAGGATATTAAGAATAAGTTGGGTAGATAGAGTCACGAATGTCGAGGTGCTGAGAAGAATGGGAAAAGATAAAGAGGCCTTAAATACAGTTAAAGTCAGAAAACTGCAATATCTGGGACATGTTATGAGGGGCGAGCATTATAACTTGTTGCCATTAATAATGCAAGAAAGAATACAGGGTAGAAGGAGTCGCGGAAGAAGACGCATCTCCTGGTTTAATAATTTGAGAGCTTGGTTTAACTGGACTTCTGCTGACCTCTTTAGAGCAGCGGCGTCGAAATTGCGAATTGCCATGATTGTTGCCAACCTTCTTAGAGGAGATGGCCTCTGGAGATGGGAGAGAGGAGAAACCGAACAGAACAACAAAAACATGCTTATAAGACGGTAGTTGGGGGATTTCTTCAAAGAAGTAAGAAAACAACGATGTTTTAAAATAATGACAAAAAATCTTTACCATCTGCGATAGGTTGACTTGTAATTTTGATAGTTAAAAAAAAAGTTAAAGTTTGGAGAATTAAATAACATAGCCGAAAAAGTAGGAATGAGAATAAACTAACTAGAGAATCCGTTAAACGGGGACTATGACATACACAAATAGATATCACGATTACAGTCATACAAAACAAAAAAGAAGTTAATGAATTTAATAATGAAATTGGTCGGCATCTATAAAAAGACTAATCAGGATGATCTGGGCAATATTTGTCAGATTAAGTTTTATACTGACAAAGATACCCAAAATAGAAAATATTTAACCAGCATTTAGCCCTTTTTTATTTATGGTGATTACTACTAATATACAAAATCGTGGATATGACAGAACAAGTGGTAAAACTTAAATGTAAATTTGTTGGGGATACTATTGAACAAACTGATCAAAGTTCTATAAAAAGAAGTGACAATAAAAATGAATAGAAAGACATCATTATGATATAATGACAAGCTTATGAAACATGCTGTAACAAAATGTAGTCGAGAAACTATTGTTAGTTTATTTGTAAGTAACTCCTTACATAATTATAAATATTGCTAATTTATTTAAAATCAAAGTTTATCTACTTACAACAATGTAGGTCGAGTTATGTCCATGCTCGTAATCCACAGATGAAGCATGCAGAGGTGCAATATGTCCTATAAAGTTGTCGAAAGCACCATGATAATCATATGTCATAATGTTTAACATATCCAAATATCTAAAATATTTTAAAATATTACAAGATATTAAGTAAAAAAAATAATTTAAATAATTAGGCATAAATAGAGACATGGGGAGAAGGTCTCATTTTCCAATTAGTCTCATTCTTCTTTCTTTTTCTGAGCTATTTATGACCAGCAAACAACTTGTTTGGTTATACCTTTGTATTATTTTGACTGATTAAAATATATTCATATAGTATTAAAATACTTCATATGTTTGAAATACCACTTCTGATAGACGTTAAAGCAAATACAACTAATATTTATCTTCTGTCAATGTGCGTCATAAAAAGTAATTCACATAAATAAAGTATTATGACGATAGTATGCAAAATCACTTGTGAGATTTGACCACATGTGTATAGAGGTTAGACACGTAGAAGTTTGAAGTTTTAACATAATATAAAGAACAAACAACTAGTTTCTTATTTCTTATTTCGTAAATCTACTTACAATTTTGAAGGAACATATCAACAAACATTTTGGTGGAAGTAATAGGTGGAAAATTTTATTGAAGGCCTACGTTCAGCATTATATCTCTAATTTCTATGTTCATCGACTATGGCATTCATAATGGTATTAATAAAGTTTGAGCATAACCAACTCTAATAATAAAAAGCCACCTGCTACTCTTGGTCTGCTTCAATTATCTAAACACAACCCAAACTTAATATACGTTGGAGATTACAACAGGCATACTGAATAGGGCAGGTAATTACAGGGAGAAAATTAGGACAATCGGAAAGCATAATAAAACACATATACCTTGCATTTAATTCAAAGTTCTAATTTATATTTAATATAAATCAAAGAAAAGAAAAGAATATAACCTTGATCTAAATTTGATCTTCTACGAAACAGCTATGTGCCTCTAATGGTATTACGAAGAGCTACACGGATTTGCATACAGTTTACATCTATAAATTTACCTAATTACTTTTATTCCTAATCCAAGAAGGACCTTTAAAAGAGACAGTAAGGTTTTGCTAAAACCTGAAAAAACATTTGGAATGGATACCGTCTACCATTATAATTTACAATAAATTTCTTTGCGCTGTGATAAGTACGGCCAACAAAAATATACCAAGAGGTTTTTACTAATAATGCATGCTTGGCTGGTCAAAAAATAGCGAGGAATTATACCGAAACTTTCTTGATTCAGACGATCAAAAAATAATGGATAAACTAGACTAAACTAAAGTAGACGGACACTGTAAAAGGCCTTAATTTTGATATATTTACCAGACAAATAGCCATTTATAAGAAAACTAGGGAGCAAAGCAATCCTTCCAGATCATAATTAAAACCATTTGTAAGACTGGATTCCGTAGGTTCACATTTAGGAAATATACCAAGGGAACTGAAGTATATAGAAATAAAATTAAGCAGGAACCCAACTGAAACAAAACTGAAACCACAGAAACTAGACTCTTCGCTACCTTCTGTAACAAAGAATTAGCAGAGGTTCTGAAGAACTGTCAAGCAAAGGTCTGAGAATTCAACTATGTTATGGTAATAAGACACTACCAAAATTAAGTTATTCGACGAAAACTAAAAACATGGAAGCATTTGTTGACCTCTTGGTGTCCCACGGCCTGTAAACCGATAGCATACCTGATATATAGCATGCTTATGAATCGTCGTTTTACTAAATAATGAGTGCCGACATTATCTTCATAAAGAAACTTTGGAACACCTTAGCACAACAGTTTGTACTAGCCTCATTGTGGTTTATCCTTTACATTGCAGATTTGTCAGAAACAAAAGAACGTCCGGGTTAGCCTACCATTGCGTAATCACTAAAAGATATAGTAACATCGAAATGTTTCAAGATGTCCTAACGGCAGACCTCAAGATAATAGGTTAGGTTGAGTTAAGTTAGGTTCAATATGAGTAGACGCTTAATCACACTTGTGGCTAGGGACACAAAATGGTAATGACAGAATAGACACGAGTCTCATTCATTCTGTTTATGTGGTTATTCGATTTTTTTTTTGTTAAGTATCCATTCGTTTATACACCATACGCTAAATTTTCTTTTAATATCTTCACTCCCCTTTCGATCTCTCATCGTGTTTCCTGTTATTCTTCTTTGTACTCTTATCTCTGCCGTTTCCAGTAATATTTGTTTTGCGGATGTTTTGTGTCTTATTTTTGATGCTTATGATATTACTGGTCTTACACTGGCTTAATAAATTGTTGAGTTTATATCAGTGTTAATATGTCGATTTTGGCGTATCGCGTTATTAAAGGATCTACTTGATCTCTTATTTCTTTGTCCAGGTCTCTATAAGCTATCTAGTCTGTACAGAGGCCCTGAACGTGAAAACAAATGTTTTCCGTCGAAAAGAAGCAACAATAAAATGGATACTATAGCGACATCTGATAATAAATTACGAAAGTAAAAATTCGAAGATTTCTACCGACGATACCAAAATCTAGGATTTTGCTTTATCCTGTGCCTTCTAAGAATTGCAAGGCAAAACAGAAGATGCAAAAAAATGTAAAGACAGAAAATAGGGAATCTAAAAGTAACATATCTTCTTATCTAAGCAAAAATCCTTGGCGAATTGGTTTCTAGTACTCATAAAGAGTATAACGGCATTAAAGAAACACAGTTAAGATTTGATTTCACGTATAGTGAAGCTGTACATCCGCTTATATAGAAGATATTATTGGAAAAAAAATTATAAAATAATTTCTCCAATAAAAATTATTCAATTACTAAAATCGGATTTATAAGAAGAAGAAGAAAAAGAAGATTTATAAAACTAAATATCACTTACTTTGTAATTTGGTCAACATCATACGCAGAATTAATTTTATCTACTGCTCCTGCAACAGCTGCTGTTACCAAAAGACCTTTAGGTTTATAAGCCTCGCTAAAATCTTTTAGTAGTAGTACAAAGTTTTCCTGCAGAACATAATAATAAAATGTTTATTAATCCCATAGTCTATACAAGGTAAAAAATAAATGGCAATAGCAAAATTTTATTTTGTATAAAGAATACTCCATCTATATTATTTTAAACAATCCCATCCCTCTTTGTATTTTTTGAAACATAGCATTATAATTAATTTTTTTTGCTTGTACACTGAGTCATTTGGCCAGCTGTTAACATAAATCGTAACATACTAAAGGCAAAAAATACATATAGGTAACAGGTAACAAACAGGACAAAATGAAAGACGTGGTCCTATATTGACTCAGTTGTAGCAAAAGTTTATTAATGAGAAATACACTTTACTTTGAAAATCCATATATAAAAAAGCACGGTAAACCACGAAATGTACATTATTTGGTTTTGCAATTAATTTGTTCTCAATGTTAATATCCAGGAGGACCAACGAAGAGCTGGAGGGACACGATTATTCAAGACATGTCAGCAAAAGTAGAATATGTATTTAGGGAAACTATTCCAGCAGAGAAATTAAGGTAAAAACAATGATAATATTAACTGTGTCAACATAAACTAATAACATATTTATACATGTACATTATATATGACCTAATCATCATCATCATCAATCTCGCTTCAACTCTTCGTGAGTCTTTGCCGCGTTTACTATTGCCTTCCATATTTGTCGGTCCTGTGCCAGTAATTCCCATAGTCACACTCCCATTTTCTCTAGATCTTCTTTGACTTCATCTTTCCACTGTTTTCTAGGCCGCCCTAGAGATCCTCTTTCATCTGGCCTTTTCTAGAACCCATTGTTTATAAGGCGATTTTCGTTACTGCGTATCACATGCCCTGTCCATCTGAGTGTATTGGCCTTTATATATCTGACTAGATGTTCTTTTCCGAATAGAGACTCTAGCTCGCTATTGTATCTGCTCCTCCATTCGTTTGTCACGCTGTCTCTGCAAGGGCCATATTATATCATTCGAAGAATTTTACGTTCCCACACCAGCAATTTATTTACTTCCCTTTTTGTTAGCGTCCATGTTTGGCTTCTATACGCGACTGATGGTCGTATTATGGTCTTATATATCCGGATTTTTGTAACTCGTGAAAGAAGTTTTGACATCATTAGATGTTACATAGCGAAGAAAGATCTGTTTCCTGCCATTATTCTTGTTTCAACTTCTCGCTCTAATGCATTGTCATTTGTGATTGTTGCTCCTAGATATTTAAATTCTTTAACCACTTCGAAGTTGTGATCATTTATAGTAATGTTTTGCCTTACTTGCCGTTATTCTTGTTTTGAGACGACCATGTATTTTGTTTTGTCTTAAAATATAATAAAAATAATAAATAACAAAATATCCTTAATTTCTAATATTGATTGTGCTACTGCGTCTACGTCATCGGCAAAGGCGAGTATGATTTTTGCTCCCCGAGCAGTTATGTCTGGTTTGATTTTTGGATATATTTTTCGCATGACATATTATAAGACCAGGTTAAACAACAATGGGGACCACGGATCTCCCTGTCTCAGTCCAGAATTTACGCAGAAAGCATTTGATATTTTTCCCCCTATTCTAACTTGTGCAAAAGAGTTACTTACACACATTTGTGTTACCGCAGATAGTTTCTTGGCTACGCCGAGCTCGATCATTGCCTTCCATAATGTAGCACGATTAATTGAATCATAAGCATGTTTAAAGTCTGTAAAAATCTTATGCACGTCGCCGTTGTGATTATATTCCCAATACTTTTCCAGTATTTGTTTTATTGTAAATATTTGATCAATAGTCGATCTGCTAGGCCTGAAAGCACACTGGTAGTCACCAACTATTTCTTTGGCGTATGGTACTAATCTTTTTAATAATATCGACGCCAATATTTTATATGTAGTGTTGATTAGTGGGATTCCTCTGTAATTCATGCATGATTCCTAATTTCCTTTCTTGTGTATTGATACAATAATACTACCACACCATTCTTTCGGCATTATTTCTTGTTGCCAGGCCATTCCTATTAATTGATGGATATTACTTATTAGTTCATGACCGCCTGTTTTAACTAGCTCAGCATTAATATTGTTCAGACCAGGGGATTTATAGTTTTTAAGCGTATTTATGGCATGAGTAATTTCTTCCATGCTTGGTGGGGGTATTTCTAATTCGATCGTTTGATACTTATGTTTTCCGTTGTTTCTACCATTTTCATTGTTTTCATCAGTGAAATTTTGGATATTCAGGAGCTCTTCGAAATATTCAGCGCATCTTTCTATTATTTTGTTTTCGGCAACCAGCATTTCTCCATTTTTATCTCTTACGAAATTGGGTGTGCTTATGTACGAGCCTCTTTTATGTTGTCTTACCTCTCTGTAGAAATTTTTACTTTCATTTCGTTTGTGTTCTCCTTCTACTTTTTCAATTTGTTGTTGCAGATATTGACTCTTTTTGGTCTAAGTGTTCTTCTAGCTGCGGCTCTCTTCCTGTGTCTGTAGTTTTCCGGGTTTGACTCCGCGTTGAATAATTTTGGTTTTGATAAAAACAATCATTTTGACGACGTTTCGGTAAGGTTGCACTTGCCATTGTCAGGTCAGGTAGTAGCCCTTCATGCTGATGCTTGAAGTTAACTGACTCTCCTTAAGCAGCAAGCAATTTAATAAAAACCAGCCTGTGAGAAATGTTTACCCCTAAGAATTACGTTTAGGTGTAACAGTTTATTGGGGCGAGGTGTATTAAATCAAATAAAAACAGGGGTTAGTCTCTGATGCGTGATAGGGGTACAACTATTAGCCAAATTCTCTTCATGTGGAAGTCCTGGGTAATAGAACTCCAACATGCCTCCTAAGCGAAATCAATCTCAGGACAGTGCTATGATCCTGTTAACTTAATGTGGCTTATCTGCGAACTAAAACTTGGTTACTTGGGCCTCAAGTCTCCGTTCTGAGTAAGGCTCAGTTTGGAGACTTGGTGCTCAAGGGGTTGGGTCCTACGTGCCGGTACGAACTGTCTTCTTAGTGTGCTGTTATGCTATTTTTGTATGTGTTCTCTATGGTGCTGTGTTATTTTCTCTATAGTATATATTTGGTGTTATTCTATTATTTGTTTTTTCAATCTTTTGTGCTTCCATTTGTGGAAAGCGTCATAACTCATCATCTCTCGCTTTATGTGACTTGGATGGTTCTCTATCTCTTATCTCTGCGAACTTTGTTCTTGTTTTATCTTTCATAATCTCAGTCACTTTGATTTACTATAATTCTCTGAAGAGAAATCTTTCTGCGATGTATCTCGGTACGTTGGCTGCTTCTCTTAGGGTGCTGTTGTGTGCCGCTTGTATTTTTTTTTGTATGTATTGCATATGTGTCCATATAAGTTTTTGTCCATAATTAATCCAAGGTATTTCGCTTCGCTTTTCTACTCGATGAGGTTATTTTGCACAGTCACTTGTTCTTTTGGTTGCTGGTACCTCTTTTTTTAAAAAGTACAGCTTGCGTCTTTTTTGAGTTTAAAGCTATTTCCCATTTTAAACACCATTCTTCTATGCCGTCTAATTCGGTTTGTAAATTATATACCGCTATGTCTATGTTTCTATGTTTGGCCGCTATCACTGTGTCGTCGGCATATGGACTTAGTAATGTACCTGGTTTTCTAGGTATGTCTGCTGTGTACACAGTGTACAGCAGAGATGACAGTACCGCTCACTTTGGCACTTCAGCTTCCGGGTTTCCGAGTTTGGACAGGACTTTTTCTATTCACACTCTGAAACTACGATTGCTCAAGTACGAAGAGATTAATTTTGTTATTCCTCCACTGTAACCGTAACGTCTCATTTTATAAATCAGTACTTTATGCCAGACCCTGTCGATAGCTTTGCTTACGTCTAGGAAGGCAGCACCTGTATATTGTTTGTCGTAAAATTCAGCTGCTATGTACTCTATTAATCTGAGTACTTGTGGCTCACTAGAGTGCTCTTATCTAAAACCCAATTATGCTTCGGGTATGATATCTAGTCTATCTGTTTCAGATTGGAGTCTATTCTCTCTACAACCTTGTTCATTGTAGGTAGTAAGCTTATTGGCCTATAATTTTGCGGGAATGTGCTGCATTTTCCTGACTTTGGTAACATTATAACATGAACATCTTTCCATCTGTTTGAGAATTTCTTAAATCTTAACATCGCGTTTACGATATTTGTTAAATACACTATGGCTCTCGCCGGCAGGTACTTTAGAGCCCTGTTTGTTGAATGAAGTCATCTGGGTGGACGAGAATTTAATGTTATCTCTCTCGAAATTACTCCATATTACCTCTGCTTTTTTGACAGTACCGTAAACTATTTCGTTTTCTCCATGCAATGGAGGCTTTCTATCGTTTCTAAGTATTCGCTGAAGCCTCCAAATATTTTGCATGTTTGGTAATTGTTTCTCCATGCTTGTATGTGGTTTTTCCAGTTTTTACTACAGTGTTTTAGTGCTGTTTTGACCTGTCTGTTTAATCGATTTGCCTAATTTTTATCTCACTGGTTTCTTGTCCTTCTTGCTGTCTGCTTTGATCTGTTCTTTTCCCTTATCAAGTCTTTTATTAATTGTGGTATATCTTTAAATCTACCCGTTTGGATTTCTTCTTCAAGTACTTCTAAGTACTTGCTGTAATTACGTTCTATTTCTCAATTGCGCCAGTTCTGTTCAGGCTCTGGAAGTTAATTACAGGCGGTTTTGGTGTCCACGCTGGTTTTGGAGTCTTTTCGTCTATTTCCATTTAACACAAAGACGGTGGACGTTGAGCGGTTTACGCACCACTCTCTTGAGCATTTTTGCTTGACTTGGGGTAAAATTTTCGTTCTTCTTGCCCTTTTTCAGCTCTTCTTTTTTGTTGCTTTTACCCTTTTTAGCTACCTGTTTGTTTTTATTACGATTTCGATTACTCCCGTAGATTTTATCTTCTCTGGTTGTGTGTTTGTTGCCTTTATGGCCTGGTTTTCGAGGTTATCTTCTTTTTTCTTTTTGACCTGGGATTTGAGGCTATCCTCTTTTTGCTGTGCTTTTCGTCAATCAGTTTTTTTAATTTGGAATCCATTGGTCACTGATTGACTTTTGTGAGGTAACCATTGTTTTTTTTTGCAGTTCCTCAATTTTCTTCTTAAGGGCTGTAATTTCGGCATCCTTCTCCTTTACTAGAATTTTTAGCGATTCTAGTTGTTTTCTGTTCCGCGGTTTTCCTACGCGGTGTCTTTTAGCCTTTTCTTTTTGTTTTTGTGATGTTTGAAGTCCGCACATGAAATCTCGTATACTAATTGATTTTCTAACGATATTTTTGGTTTGACGGATGGTAAAATGGTTGAGATTTTCTGTCGTTAAAATGAATGTCGTTGAAATATCGTTTCTATTTTGTATTTTCTTAGTGTCTCTATTTATCAAAATATTCAAATAAAAAAGTACGAATATATACATAATTTTATGCAGAATCTAAAAATGCGATAAAACATAGGGTATTCATTTTAAAATAACAAAGTTGCTTTTCATTGCGGTATAACCGAAAGTGGTATATCTGTCAAAATATTTTCTTTAAGATTCTTATAACTTATAATCCCTACAAACAAATTTTTATAAATATCGTGCAGGTAGTTTTCAGGGCACAGCTGTATAGGTTTTTTATTGGATTGTGATTAGATACTGTATACCTGCGATAATGATTTATGTTAGGAGGTAACATGCAAACAGTCTTAAGTCACACAAAAATCAAAGTTGAGTTAGATGTGCCAATGCATTGTTCTATTGTAGCCAAAGTGGTTTATTCTATGGGATTGATACAAAAAAAAATGATATGAAATGGTAACAGGATGTTAAAAAACATCTTTACATGCAAAACAAATTATTTCCACTGTACTCGTCCATGAAAATCAGCTTATTTAAAACCAACCGATAAAAACTCTGCAACTGCCATTCAACTGACCCAGTGAGCCTTGTAAATTTAAGGTTATGTGAGGGTTTTGTATTAAAAGTTTTTGTGACTACTATTGAGATTGTCAACGGATTTAGAAAAAAATAGTAATTACGTTAATATTTAAAGGAGAATAGATGGTGCAGATGTAACTGTAAGTGTTGTTGAACGAAATGAAGGGACTAGAAAAAGAAGAGTTACAGAAGGAAAAAGAAAAAGTAAAGAAATTATCAGGTATATAATTGCTAGTCTGATTCATATAACACCAATCAAAAGACATAGATCTAGGCCAGAAAACAAAAACAAAAAAAAAACAAACCTGGACCTGAGCGAAAGTATTCAACACAATACTTCTTAACTGTCTCTAGTGTTTAAACTTCTGTATGTTTAAAATTTGTTCGCACTTTTATTGGTGTTTCTGAAACTAGAATAAAAAACGTAACCAAAAAACTGCATTTAGGGTTTGCCGTTGAAGAGAAAAAAAAGGGTGACACTACCAAAAATAAGAACTATTTGAAGAAGGAAAGTGTCAAAGAGTACATAAAAAAGCTCAGAGGAACTGAATCACATTACAACATAAAGAAATCCAAAAGTTTATTTTTAAGTAGTGAGTTAAGTGTTAGTAAACTTAGTAAAATGTATAATTATCAGTGTGAAGAGGAGCTAAAAGTAAAATGCAAATTAAAAGTGCACCAGCACGGTCTGCTAAATTGGCGCAGCTATTGGTTAAAACGCGGATTCATTCAAGAAGAGCAAAGGCGTTTTATGCGTACATGAAAATGAATGTTCCCCATTCTGTTTCTGTTTCTCTGTGCTTTGATCTTCAATAAATTTAGCCAATACCTGAAAGTCCAATTTAAAATGCTTATTACGCAAGATAAATTGGGTTAATACCTTTTGTATTACCGGTCTAAAAACTCAAAACCCCATGTTCTATACTTGAACAGAGGATCAGGCAGGAAAAGGCAGTGTTGAAATATCATCAGCTCTTTTTAACTATTTGAGGGAGGCTGATTTTCAGGGCTGTTCTGTACTAAGGTTGCTTAGCGATGGTTGTGTTGCTCAAAATAAAAATATTATTGTGTTGAAAACACTTGTTCATTTTTGGAAACACACAAAACATCAATGCAAAAGATTTTATTGTATTTCATGACATAGTTTTTTAGCCGCTTATCGTGTTTTTGGTAAAGTCAAAAAGTAGTTGCCACAAAAGTCCATAATTTTAACTAAACAGTAATACCGTGACATTTACAGTGGTACAGTTAAAATAAAAGCACTATGAGAAGATTGGTCACTACTTGATACTAAGAAGCTAAGTGAATACCATTAGAACATCTAATCAATTAGTGAACTGAAGAGAATTGAAATAAGCAACCGAACACAAAAAGAAATTGAACACCTCCAAAAAAAAAAGGAAAAGGAAAGTCTTACAAAAAGATTGTGTTGATAAGAGGCTTGAAGAACTATAGGTATGAAAGAGAAGAGTCTTTTGTATATTTATGAAAGCAAGGGAAAATAATCTAAGACAAGTGAGACTAGAACAACTACCACTTCATCATGTTAACCAAAGAAAAGATCAAAGACATTGACAAACTATAAAAAATATATTTACAGAGGACTGGTCTACTTCTGAGCCACGCCTTGGTTGGTAAAAGAGTTTGATTTTTGATGAATCCACTGCAACAGCTGATGGTGAGTGGCAGGAAGAAATGTGTGACTGCCTCGACGATGAGCGCTGTGACTTGCATATTTAAAAAAGTGTTTGTTGCATTAACTACCCATTCTGACAATGTTTGTCATTTAGATAAGGCCTATATTATTATTTTATAAAAAGTTTATTCAGTAAACTATTTAAACCTTTCATTTATTGCTTTATTACTTTAGTTACATGTAAATTACAATTATGTGCATAACATTTTATATGCAAAACGACTTATTTCCACAAAGTTCGTGCAAAAGGTCTTATTGTCAAAACAAAATTAATTTTTTAAATTATTTTTTAGCTACCTCAACTTAAATGAGTATTTTAATGTTTGGAACTAATAGTATTGCATAACATTGATTAGACCTTATTATCCTTTTTCAGAGCAAAGCTACAAGTTTTTTGCCCTCCCTGAAAAATATTACTTATTGGTGACTTAAGTTTTTCTGCATTTTACCTCCTCATGTATTTGTTATTATTACATAAAACTCCTATTAATTGTTTAGAATACACAACGTACCTTATCTTCGGTATGAGCAGCATCTCTTAATGTTGGATATTCCCAATCTATGTCAATGCCATCGTAGTTATATTTTTCAACTAGTTCTAATGATTGAGATACCAGTAGTTTCCTGCGTTCAGGATCAGCACTCACAGAAGAGAAATTTTTGGAACCCTCATTCCATCCTCCAAGACTAATCAATATTTTTACTTCTGGATGAGTTTGTTTTATGGCGGCCAGGTTTTTAAAACCGTCTAAAACAATTAAATATGGACTTACAAAATTTTACTAATTTTTATTTGATCACATATTTAATTCCTCATTCAGTTAAAAACCAATATTTTATTTTTGGTCGATTATACTTCAATAAGTTTGTGATTAATGTAATGTGATAACTGATTACCAACCACAGCTGATTGTATAGATAGTAGTGTTTTTTTCTCCCGACTAGTGTCGTCAAAGATAGAGAAATCGGCTTGTTCGTTAGCACTGATCACGACATGATATGGTACATATATCAGACTGACTGTTGTATTTTAGTTTATAAGAAGCTGATATATGTAATAAATATTTTGGACGAGAGGATGGTTGGTGGATATAGTATTATTGGAGTTCATAGAGAAAAGTTAATCAGTGCATATGGTTATGTGTGTATTCGGATATTATTGGGCATATTTGAAAGCACGTGAAATAGCACCAAGTAGAAATGTTAAAGACTTCGATAGACTGCTGTACAGTGGTTACAGAATATCCAACAGTACATTCACTCTTTGACAAGTCAGGGTAAACAACTATGTTATATGTATATTTGTTTGTAAGTTCTAGAAAAATAATTCTTTATGTATTAACACTAGTATCTTCCTTGTAAAATTTAGTCAGGAAAATATCGTAATGTGGAAGTATATTGGTCCAATAGGGATTATTGGATAATGGTGGATTTCTGGATTCAGACAATATGTATCTTTTAATAACGGCTATAGAAGACTAGAAAAATAATGCATAATTAAGTTACATGGGGGGTTGTTATGGATTTAGTGTAAGATATAATTAAAGGATATACTAGAGTGGAGAGACTAGAAGAAATTGCAGAAGCATAGGAGAGAAAAAGGTTTTCTCGCCCAAGCCATAGAGGAGGCTAATTAGCTTCACAGTAAATAATTTCTACTGAACTAACACATAGACGAATTCTTTGAAATTATTTAACATATAGACGAATAGCCGTATTATTAACTGTATTTAGTGAATTTAAGGTTGATTTATTTGCAGACATATACGTGAAACATCCATAGTCGAGCGCGGAACGGAATAGTGATCTATAAACTTTTAGTAACGTAGTTTCTTCCGCACCCCAATGATAGTGTGAGAATGTTTTAATTAGACAAACTCTTTTAAGTTTTCTTAATGTATCGTTGTTAGGTAAATCCTGAATCAAATATCAGCCCTAATATTTTGCAATTATTAACAATTGCTAACTTAAAGTTATTGACAGTGATCTCATGGTTAAAAGAATTAATTCTTCTGCTAAATTTGATAAGTTTGGATTTGCAACGGGAAAGGGTAAGTCCCACAGAAGCAACGTTTTGTAGATCATTTACTGTTAATTGCAGAATTCTACTAGTAGTAGCGTTGGATTTATCATGACAGTACATTATTAGATCATCGACATATAATACGCATTTTATCGGTGGAGTAATACTTTGACTTAACTTACTAATCGCAAGATTGAATAGGGATGTGCTTAAAACTTAACCTTGTGGTACTCCATCATATTGAATGTGTGAAGAAGCAAGGAACTTATTGAAAGAACCCTTGTACAATATGTACAAAATACATTAAGATACATAATCTAGCTACAACAGTTTTTAACATGTTTTTTAAATGAAGCAGTTGAAGTATTAAATAATTCTAAATCTGTTTGGTAATTGTTCGCCGTACGTAACATCCTCGAAAAAACCTGCATTAGGTCCATAATTCGTAGAATGGAAATTTACAAAAAAAATGGTCAGAATTAGGGGTCGCATAGATATATTATATGAGATTAAATCCAAAATTTCAGGGCAATTAATAAATCGATTTAGAAGCTTATGTAAAAAATATAATTAGAAGTCAGCTGTTCTTGTCTCTAAGTTGTACATTTTAAGTTGATTAAGAATATAACTGTAATTATAATTTCCACGTCTTAAACCCATTTTATAACCACATATCCTTAAAAATCTGTTTTGAACTTTTTCTAATTTAGTTTTCTGGGTATTATAAAAAGGACACCATCTAATACAGCAGTATTTTATAATTAATCGCACTAGGGAACAGTATAATATTTTAAACGTAAAAACTGAAAAGTTTTGTGCCTTCTATATCAAAGATAGTTGCTATCAGATCTTGTTGGCTATAAATCGCGTCAGAGATATGAGTTTGGAGTAGTACAAGATTATTTCTTGTGCAGCGTTGTCTCTGGTAGCTAGATTGTTCCTTTTGAATAATCTTGTGTTTTTCAACATAACAAAAAATATGTTTGTTGATAATTTTTTTTATTAGCTTATATATAGTGCATGCGAAGGAGATGACATCTAAGATTGTGGAAAAATAGTTAACTAATTTGGCTTCAGTATTGTTATAACAATCAACTTGCTCCATTGAGACGGAAATTTATGTGGACCATAAATTAGGTTATACAAAGTTAGGAGTTTATTGAGACTATCGTTAGACAAACGGTTTAGAAATGCATAATGAATATCATCAGGCCCAGCTGAGGTGTTTCTGCTATTAGCCAAGACAGATATTAGCTCGTGGATAGTAAAAGGGGAAGTCTGAATCAGATTATTTCTGTATAAATATATTTCATGATCAGACATTTGGATAGACGAATCGCCTCTTAGCAGGAAGATTTTCACCAAGGAACCTCTTTATGATTTAGAGAGAATGTTGTTTTGCCAATGTAAGTTTCAGCAGCTAAAAGAATGGTGTCTGATATTGACGTTAACAAATAGTTAACTCTATTAGTTGTTGGATGACCATGAGCGAGCAAGAGAGAGCTAGCGGCTATTGAATACTGTGTCAAGTTAGCTGGATTTGTGCGCCAATAGCGGTTGGCAGATACAGTTTCACTACAATTGTTAGAAATTATTATGGAATAACTATTGGTGTCAAGGAGATCATCAGCTATTTGAAATGTTAAAAAAGATGCAAATTTAGGGTCACTAGTACTATCATTAATAGCAGAGAAAGATAAAAAAAAATAAACAGAGTATTAGATCCTGTGTTAAGAAGACATGAGTTTGTGCAGTTTAGTATATTTTCAACTACTTTTCCTCGTCCAAATGTTGATTGAGAGCCTTACATACTGTTGTGTACGTTAAAGTGTCTTGTGTGAAAATAAACGGTTATCAAAGTTGAAATATAAGGTCTCAGAGCTCTTCTTATTTTAGCAGATGGTTTGGGGAATATATAAGTAAGCTTATTAGGGAAATATGTGGTTATGGAGATAGCCTCAAGATTCGTTTTCAAAGGTAGCATTGTTGAGAAAATTTTACTGAAAGCACATATTGATGTACTCCACTAGCTCTGGAGCACTTTGTCCTAATAAAGTGGTATCCTTCAAATGATTTAGGATAAGAAATATTATTTATATTAAAATTAGTCTCTCGTAGACAAAGAAGATCTGGATGGTAAATATATGAAGAATATAAATCAAGGTGCGGATAATATCTGTCGCAGTTCCATTGTAAAATACTGAATTTAAAAATAATTCAGTTAATAGAAAAAATATATCTTGTACTCATGACGTAGATTTTTGTATTTTTTTTTTTACTTAATTAGATGGCTTTGGTAAAGACCAATTAGCCAGACGATTTTTTTTTAACTATAATAATTTAAAAAGGAAAACTTAAAAAGAAAACTCATCCTTCTTCACAATAACAATTCTTAAGTTATTAGTAGCTTAAAGTTAAGTGTGAGCAGTGAAATTTGTGTTTTTTTTTCCTTCTATGTAGAATTTAGCTGTTTTTAAATATATATATTTTTATTCTTTTTTTTTTTTGCTGCTTTGTTTTTTTTTATTTTTGTTTGTTTTTTTTTATATGCACTATTTTTTTTAATTTTTTTTTTTTTTTAATTTTATTTTTTTTTTAATTTTTTTTTTTTAATTTTTTCGTCGCCCACTTACAAAATCTAACTAGTTGCAGGATTGCTAACAAAGAGGTGGTTAGTAATTTACAATTTCATTTTGCACCGTTTGGTGTGATTATACAAGCAGTACAATATATTAATATTCTTATTGAAAATTATACAATTTAAATTTATAGGTAAGCAAATTTTGTTATTAATAACTTCATTATAAAATTTATCTGTGCTTTGGCTATTTAATGAACAACCAAGTAGAATATGTGTTAAGTCTCCAAGTTCCCCACATAAACATGAGCAATCATCAATTAAACCAATTTTACATTTATAGCTTGGTGACATTGCATGATTTGCTCTTATTCTGTTTAAAGTAATAATAAAGTTCCTGTTGTTTTCGTTGTAGAACCATCTTATTATTGGGATTTGGACTTGACATGATTTATAATTTAATCCTATTTGTTTGCTGTCATATAGTTCTTGCGATTTAGCCTTAAGTTGAACTTTAAGTGTGAAATTCAAATCTGTATATGGAATACACTGGTTAATAGAATCTCTGTGTAAGTCTGAGGCGGATTTTGCAAACTTATCAGCAATTTCGTTTCCTTGAATACCCGAATGCCCTTTGATCCAAACTATTAGCACCTCCCGTTGCGAGCTAAGTATTTCGTGATTGGTCTGTAGTATTTCTACTTCTAGATGACTTAAGTTCTTGGCCGCACTTATATTTTTTAGTCTCTCTATGACACTTTTGCAATCTGTAAATATAATACTTTTGAGTCTATACGTCCTAAGTATATATTTTAGAGCCTCACATATTGCAAACATTTCTGCTGTATATATCGTTGCCTCATCTGGTAATCTGAACTCTTCATGATATTTTGAGGTGTGATCGTAAAAAGTGGCACCTGTACGAATTTGTTTTGATCCATCGGTGTAAATCTGATAATAGTCAGGCCATCGTTGATTAACCGTTTCGAGGAAGTGGTCGTTTTTGTCAATCTGAAACGTCTTAATTTTTTTAGAGAAAAGGACATGCGGATGTTTTGAAAATATTGGTTGGATTTTTGATGTGTACAGTACCGACCTGAATTGGGAAAGAGTGGTATAACTTTCACAAATCAGCGGAGTTTTCTTTTTTAGCCAATAAGACTGTGTGAGTACTGAAATTGACAGTTCATGGATAGGCATTATATAACTTGCGGATTTAGCAAATGCTTTTGTGATAAACTTGTTACTAATTAGTTGCCTTCTTAGTTGTAACGGTGGTTCTACAGCTTCTGCTTCCATAATATTTATTGGGGTTGACTTGAGATATCCAAGACATATTCTTAAACTTTTGTTTTTTTGGGTTTCTATTTTGTCTAAATGAATTTGTGCCGCTGATCCATACAAATGACTACCATAATCCAGGATTGATCTTATCATGGTTCTATAAAAGAACAAGGCAATATTTGGGTCAGTCCCCCATTTTGTATAACAAAAGGCTCTCAGTATGTTAATAGCATTTTCTGACTTTTTTGTTATTTGATGGATACAATCTTTCCATAACAGTTTCCGGTCTAGATATAATCCTAAGTATCTCACAACATTTTTTATTTGAAAATTATAAGGTCCCAGTTTTACATGATCCTGTTCAATGTTTCGTCTTCGGCTAAATAGACACACCTCTGTTTTGTGTTCAGAAAGTGTAAAATAATTTTCGTTCAGCCACTCCTTGAAGATGTCATAAGTTTTGTTTAATTCATATTCACAAGTTTCAAAGTTTTTTCTTGTACAATAAAAGACAATATCATCTACAAATTGTATTGTTCTTATATTATGAAGTTTAACACTGACATCCATTGTATATAATAAAAACAAAACTGGACTTAAAATACTGCCTTGGGGGAGTCCTAGGTTCGTAGTTCTAGGTCTAGTGGTTACTTGATTTATTTTTATATGGATTTTCCTGTTTGTGTACAACGAAGTTCTAAAGTTCGCTAATTGCGTATTAAATCCAATCGAAATCAATTTATTGGTTAAAACATCTAGGTTAACGTTATCAAATGCACCTGTAATATCGTTGAAACCTGCCATCGTAGATCGTAGACACATGATCGTAGATTTTTGTAAGAGATCAATAATATTGCAGTTAAAGTCAATAAATTATTGGACGTAAGGCGCCAAGTTCGCCTTGTTTTAGCTTTTTTGTTATTCTTTAAATGCGATTCTTATCAGATACAATTTGGTATATTTGTGTAAGGTCTTCAAGAAAAGAATTATTGTTGGTAGTTAAGGTGGGAGCTTCTTTAAGAGTATTACTATTACCAAAGGAATTTTCCAGAAAAGCAATTAGTTGTAATATTGCTAACAAAATTTTTTCTGGATTATCACAAATTGATTTTAACCGAAGTAGATGATTCAAGACTATGTCAGTGGACTGAGTTAGAGACTGTTTATTTGGGATTGTAAAGTCAGAAGGTGTGTTATTTGTATAATTTTTTTCTTTTGTAGAGGAAGGAGGAAGAGTTATACCAGAAGAGGATCGCGTGGGCATCGTTAAGAAGTTTTATTTAGAGCGGGATTGCTAGATATTTCTAGAGGCTTAGGATAGGAGTTTTCAGTGTGTCCATATTTAGCAATACATAGATCAAGCGTCGAAAACTAAAATTGTGAGCATATTTATCTTCTGGTAAACTAGATCGGATAAAAGAGATAGGATAAGCAAGTGCAAGTTCATTTTTAAGTTGTTGTTCTATGAGTGTATTCGGGATATTAAAAGGCACACTTTAAATAGTAGTAGCATTTTTGTAGGTGTAATAGTCTCACCATGAAGCCAGGTGTTCACTTGTTGACTTCTCAAATAGGACTTAACTGTGATTAGGACTTCTTAAATCATAAAAATTCACGAAAAACTTTTAAAAGGGTTATTTAACTTTGACAGTTATTTTGATATTCAAACTTAATTTAATTTTTATAGCTATTAATTTTAATACAATTTTGTATTGGTAATAATATAATTAATATAATAGTAACCGTAGTACTTGATACAATTTGGTCCACTATATAAACTGTTGGTTTTTCATTAAGTTTCGAAATTTCCAGTATCTCTGATTTGAAGGCGTATTCTGGAAAATTGATCTTCATTAGAGAATGATTATTCTTAACGTACCAATTTTTTATGCTCGGTACGTTCCACGACTTTTTTGGTTGTTTTTCCAAAATCTCTGAATGGTAAGGTGCATTATCTAAAACTATAACTGTAGGTTCACTCAGACTAGGTAACAGTTTCTACTCAAGCTATTAAACAAACATATATTTATTCATTTATTTATGGTAATCAGCAGATTTTGATTTTGAAGAAAAAATCAAATCTGCGTTTTCTATAAAGCCTTCTTTCCCTCCTGCACGAAGAATCATGTGTCTTTTGCCTTCGCTATCTATGTGTTTTATTGATTTTATGCTGTCGTCTTAACAAATTCTTTTAATTCTACCCTTTGCAAATATACAAGTCTCATTTAGGTATACGAATGTTGCATTTTCAAATTTAAGTCTAGTATATTCTGTCAAAAATTTAATTCTTCTGTGAACCACACTACTATTTTCGCATAAAAGTAATCTATTATTTCGTTTTTTGAATTTAAATCATAAATCTCTCAAGATTTTTCTGACTACTCCTCTTAATTTCAGAGACTTGACTTTCTCTTATTTTAATCAGTAAAGTATCTAAACCGACATGTTATTTGTTTTCACGCATTACATAGACACAAAGTAAACATTACGGAGAGTACCAGTGCAGTTTACCGTGGCTTTTACGACAACGAAAGGTCTTCTGCGAATTCTGTTAATCATTTAGAGGTGTAAGTTGGTTGAATGTACTGTATGTTTTCGGTGGTTACAAAGGCATTGGCATTATAGTCATATTTGATTTTTATTATTATTACTACAAAATTTGTAAATTTAGCATTAAAACAGACACACATAGACGTCGACTTACCCACTAGCTATAAAAACTATTTTTTATTGATTTTTTATGGCAAAATTATGTAATTTGTAAAGATTGTTATAACTCACACTATCCAATGCTTTGTTGTAATCAATATAGAATAAAGTATTATTGTATAAGTATAGTGTATGCATATAGTGCTTTTTTTTTGTTTCTAACCTTTCAATAAGGGAGGGTGGGGGAATTTTACATAGTGGGTAATTACGCACAGATTCAATTCAAATATACTGGTCTTAGCTGATGTCAGCTGGCAGAGATATTGCAAGTCGTGCTTACAAATTTCATTTAGTATTGATACTTCAATGAAAATACATAGATTTCAATAAAAAATAGCGCTGCAAAGTGTAACAAGCTAAGTGTTAATATTTATTGTACGATTGTATTTATGTCATCAAATGAAAACGTGATTCTTACTGGGAGTAATCTTTCTAATATTTTTATAAAACTTATTAGATACTGTCGTATGGCGTAATATTGCGCATACAATGATGATAATTTAAGCAGCGTAAAATTACTCTTTAACCTATCATTGTCTTGCTTGCTACAAACATAAAAGGCAACAAGGTTAAAAATAAATACCTGGCTGATTATTTAATTGAAGTTGCTAAAATGTTGAATACTAAATTTGTTTGAAACGTGTTTACTCGTTGCAATATTGCAAGTGAGGTCTCTCAAATTTCTTTATTTGCTCAGGCAGAAAATTAGAGACGTTGGGCGAAGTTTCAACATTCCCGAGGCGAAATGTTAAATCTTCTCTCTTTGTTACCACATAAAGATAAATCCGAAATCAATGTCTAATCTAGGTCGAAAGCTCATCTTTAGAGAAAAACAGGAGAAATAATTAACTAAACATATCTCTAAGTTAGCTAAAATGTTTTATGGTATTAATATTAAAGAGCTTAAACTTGTCTTGGTGTATAAATACGCAGATACAAATAAAATCAGGCGCAATTCTGTTAGGAGACAATTTGCTGAAAAATACTTGTAGCTGCTACAAAAAAAAAAAAAATTGTTAAAGAGACCAAAAATCAACACAAGTTAATAAATTAAATTTCAAGAAACTTAAAAGGAGAAATCGGAATTTGACGAGAAAGACATTTGTAGTGATGAACTAAACAATGTGGACCCGACTAGTCCACAAAGTTTGATGGACTATATATATATATATATATATATATATATATATATATATATATATATATATATATATATGTATATATATAACATATTTGTTGACTAAATACTCATTTTAAATTAAAAAAATTTTGTAATAAAAAAATTAAACTGTATAATTGATATAATTTGAATAAAATTTTCCAATACACTACTTAAAATTACCCACATAGGTGGGTAATATTGCGCACCAACCAAAAAATTGAGTTGATAATTTCAGATTGTGTATTTACTGTTTGACACTATGTGTCTCGTATACATCTAGGCTTAACTTTGGTGAGCTAACCATATTAATTTAAATAGTTTTAATAACTTAACAACAATAAAGACGGTTTTGCTTAAGTGCGTTAAATTCCCCCACCTTCCCCTAAATTAAAATTTTATGAAAGGATACAAATTAGGATAATCTAGATCAGTTAAAAATATTTCAATTAATCCACAAGTCAGTGTAAAAACAGAATTAAAAAAAAAACGTATTGGTCGTTTGTTTAATGGCTTATGGACGAGTATTTCAATATTTAATTGATTTATTTAAAATTATCTCTAAAATTATTGATAAATAGTCGAGTAATCGAAATTTTAGATCAATTAAAGTTGAGATTTTAATCAGATATATAGAATAACTAATGCATAACCTACATTGTTGACAATTTTAATAATTAAATTTTAAACAACGTAGGTTTAAACACTACGTACTAAATGGCATAAACTGATTTGTAAAATAGCTAAAATGTGTCAAATAGCTTCATTCGGATGTTTTTAACGTTCAAGAGCCTTCGTCTTTCGGTAGCGATCAATACAATAAGTAAAACGGAGCCATAAGTTCCCATCTCCTACCACACTACTCATACAGCGGCCGAACAGACGCACCAGCGTATTCTTGTTTAAATCAAAGATCCATTTATGTAATCTACGTAAGTTCTCTACCAATTTTAAATGAATAAGTATACTTACGGTATTCACCATCATCGTTGGATTCCCAAGGGTCTACAATGAATAAAGAGCCATCTTCAAATAATTCCACGAAAGCAAAATTAATGTGAGTGCACAAAGTCGGGTCTATGTTAGAAATATCAAATTTTGCAGTATAATTTCTATATATAGCCCAGCTTGAAAAATAACACACAACATTATATCCAGAAGCTAAAATAATTTATATTAAAAAAAATTAAAATCATTAATATAAAAACATTATAACTAATAGTTAGATATCTCCTTACCTGGAGTTGAAAGCAACACTAAGAATATCAGAGAAACGAAAACTAATCCCACTTGTAGTCTCATTTTTCTGCAGTGTAATAAAATGTTATATACTTAAATAAAAGCAAATCAGTGCACAGATATTATTTATATAGTTTTTAATATTGTTATCAATAATGATGAAGAATTTGATTAATGATATATTAACACTTTTAGCTACAAATTGATAAAGCTTCAGAAGTATTTTCTAAAGATAAAACTATTTTAACAAGGCAAACAGATACTGGAGGTGATAATCATTAATGAATTTGTTGATGATGTCAGATAAATTAAAATTATTGTAGATAAATTTCGAATAATTGTATACGGTGCAAGCGCAACTTCATTATCCTGTACCTACTATTTAAAAACTGCTAGTATAAATTACTAGTATTACACAATCAAAAGAAATACTCAAAGTTAACAAATCCTAGAGATATTTGCCTACAAAACGTAAAATGCTACTTCTTTAAATTAAAAAAAGATCTGTTCCGTTAGAATATATATTTTTTGTTATTCACGTCTTCAAATTATTTTTCTTGGGTTATATTACGGCATTTTCATTGGATTCATGAGACTCTCTATATTTTTAACTTCTTTTTATGGTCACAAAGAAGAAGCCACCACAAAGATAACAGAATCATTAAGACCTATTCTGGGAAACGATTTATGATATTTAGACTAATCCTTCAATCACCAGTGCAACATGGTTTTGTCAAATCGGGCATTTTCTTCGGGACCAACTATTTAACAATGTCAATATATATTGATGCTATACTTACTTACTTACTCCGTGACGTTACAACCCTTCGTGGGTTTTAGCCGACTCGGTAACATGCCTTCACTGTTTTCTGTCTTGAGCAGTCTTTACCCAATTCTCCACGCACATAGTGCTTTAGGTCTCCTGCTATATTATCTCGCCACTGGACATGAGGGCATCCGCTTGGTCTTCTTCCAGTTGGGACTTCCTCCCACACCAGTATTACTGGTCGTTCGTCAGAATGTCTTCTGATGTGTCCTACTCATTGGAGTCTTCTGGACTTTATTGCTTTTATGATGTTGGCGCCTGGGTAAAGTTCTTCGAGCTCTTTGTTAGTTCTTATTCCATATTGTCCTGATGTTTCATCCAGCACAGTACCAAAGATCTTCCTTAGGATTTTTTTTCCCAAACACATAGTCTCTCTTCGTTTGCCTTTGTTACCGTCTACGTTTCGCTTCCATACATCACAATGAGTCGTATGATTGTCTTATAGACCTGTATCTTCATATATCTTGTTAGTTATTTCGATTTTATAAGGTGTCGGAGAGCAAAGAGACATCTGTTGCCGGTTTGAATCCTGTTGTTTATTTCTTGTGATCCGTTATTGTCTTCAGTTATTGTTGTTTCAAGATACTTGAATTCTCTAACGCGCTCAAAGTTGAAGTCATCGTTATTCTTAATCGTGTGTTTCCTGTCAGATCGATATCGTCTGCGAATGCCAGTAGTAAGTTTGGTCCTTCTAGATGGCATACTGTATTCGGTTTTTCGATTCTTGCACTTCTGATTATGTGCTCCAGAGCTAAATTGAAATGTTGTGGTGAAAGTGCATCTCCCTGTTTTAGTCCATTGTTTATTTCAAATATCTCCGAGTATTGTTGTCCAACTCTCACCTTATATCGTAACCATTCCATACACATCCGTATCAACCTGACTAGTTTTTTTGGAAAGCCAAGTTCCTGGATCGCTGTCCACAGTCTCTCCCTGCATATTCTATCAAATGCCTGTTTAAATCTGATGAAGCTCACGATCAAACTCCCAGCATTTTTCCATTATCTGTTTTATTGTAAATATCTGGTCAACAGTAGAGCAGCCCGGTCTAAATCCGCATTGGTAATCTCCATCCAACGATTTCTTCTGTGTATGTTTTGGTTCTTTCTAGCAGGATGATTCCCTGTAGTTAATACATTGCTTTTTGTTTCCTTTTTTGTTTATTGGTACAATAACCAATAATTTGTATATTGGTGTCTATTAAAAGTTGACCGTGCAATTTAAATGCGGCATCTTATTTTTTTTGTCTGATCAGTATCTTCTGTGATCCATGCTTCAAGGTATTTGTACGAAGATATTTGTTCAATTTCTGTATTATCTAGTACTAGCTTAACTTTGACGTTTTGTGCTTTTGTAAATACCATGAACTTGGTTTTCTTCAAATTTATTTTTAGTCCATAATCGTTGCACTATATATTTGGTTATATTTAGTTATATTTAGTTGTTCAGCAAGGTGTTGCAGTTCCCTTATCTTTTTGATATAACAATTCAGCTTGGTGCTAGTACGTTTTAGTCATTTTTTAAATTTGTTAATTTTATATCTACACTTTACTGTTGTAAGTTAGTTTTTTACGTGCAATTTTGACGGGTTTTTATTGAGCTTGGTAGTAGTTTTTATTCTTTCTTTCATTTGTAAATTAAACTTTTTCGCATTGTAATACACGAATGCTAGTACACATAAACATTCAAGCTACGATTTTAACAAAATTTTAATGTATTGACCACAGTTACCAATGGAATGGTGTGTTTGTTTAACATCTTTTTATACTTCACTTACCATTCGTAAGTTATTTTTTCCTATGTTTTTGTATATTATTGCCTACCACCATTGTAATATTTTTTAGATTAAACTGATAAAGCTTGTAAATCCCACAAGCGAAATAGGAATGAAACTGTGATTTCCTTGTATTATTTCTCCTTGACCGATATCCTCGTGATCAAAAGATTTTTTCTTTTGAAACTTACTTCATTGAATAATTGTTTGACGGTCGTACTCCTTTATATATATATATATATATATATATATATATATATATATATATATATATATATATATATATATATATATTATATATATATATATACGGATATCTTGGGTTTAGTAGTCAACACTGGCCTTCAAGTAAAACTCTTTTAAGTATGTTAAGTTTAAATTTAAATTAAGTTTTAATTTGTTTTTTAAACTCTTTACTTGAAGGCCAGTGTTGACTACTAAACCCAAGATATCCGTATATATTACTCACATAGTCACTAAAGCCCTTTCTAAAAAAAAAATATATATATATATATATATATATATATATATATATATATATATATATATATATATATATATATATATATATATATATATATATATATATATATATATATATAAATGGTTGCATTGCTCCTGTAGTGATCCTTTCTTAAGGTAATCTGCTCCTTTTCCAACTTGGCTGCACCCCACTGAAGACGACCAATAGTCAGAAATACGTATATACGGTTGCCTTAGATTGATATACCATTTTTGATTTTCTGTTTTGCGAGACATACCATTACTTTTTACTTATATATGTATAATGTATAGTATATATATATATATATATATATATATATATATATATATATATATATAATATATATATATATATATATATAATATATAATATATATATATATATATATATATATATATATATATATATATAATATATAATATATATATATATATATATATATATATATATATATATATATATATATAATATATAACAATTTTTTATATGGGGCACCCTATACATTTTTTCAAACTTATTTTTTCACTTTATGGTACTGGGTATAGCATTAATCTACAGAGTATCAATCTTACAAGTTATCAACATTTTTATTTCAAAATCCTTACATCAACACCTATGCATAAACAGTTGTTTATTTTGTATAATAAAGTAAACAGTATATTGTAGTTTTTAAATTAAATTTAATTGAAATCATTGAGAAACATTTGTATACAGACAGGGTTAACTTCTTCTTCTCCTTCTTCACGGGCTTTACAACTCGGGGTGAGCCTTCGCCGCATCTACTATCGCCCTCCATCCATACAATGTAAACTACAAAACAAAATTACGAGTTTCTTATTTTGTTTTAATAGAATACCCTATATTTTATTTTTTAGAAATACTGCATTTATGATACTCTTTCATTTTTAAATAGCATTATATAGCAAAACTTTTCGAGATATTTTTAGTTTTCTTCCAATTTTGTAAATACAATCAATTTTTGTAAATAGAAATAAGTATTGAGTACTGAGTGAGAATAAAAAAAATATTTTTATTCAATAAGTAACTTACAAAAAATATAAATATGCAATAAATGTATAAATAAATGTGATATTATGAGAATATCATATTTCCTTAATGAAATACAAGATTCCTAAAATTCCTACAAGATAATAGGTTTTGTATAATAATTTGACAAGTATTTTTATTTAATAAATAACTCACACAAAACAGAAAGTACAAAAATATACAATTGATGTAACAATATTCTAATCCAGGAATTTTTGATAAAACATTCCTAACTGCCGATTGTGACACGCAAATATTAATAAATAAAAGGCCATTTGTGTAAGTCACAAAGATAAAACAATAGGCTTTGAAAAAATGACAGTTTTCATATTATTAAACCGTAAACGGTAGGCTTTGAAAATGAAAATTTTCACATTATTACCTTTTTAATCTATCGGTGTGTTTTTAATCGGTTTGTCTTTATTGTTAAAAATGAATTTTTCCATAGAATAGTTAACAGATATCATCTGGGTATTAGGAGAGAAACTGCTGACTCACATCCAGGATATATCACGAGCAATATGTTAAACGGGAAACCAAACGAAAGAGCTTTGGGAAAAAACTTCCAAAAAACTAAAGATTCAAGGACGTAATGAAATCCTTGAACACTCTGCTGTTCCTAAACATCTAGGAGTTACTTTGGATGCCACGTTATCATTTATAGAACATTGTTTAAACGAAAAGGAAAACTCTACAAGGAAAATAAATGTCCTAAAGTCAGCTGTATACCATAAATCACAAAGTTTTTTATGTAAGAAATCCTAAAAAAGGTATATTTATCTAAAAAGAACCACTTTTGGACTAGATCACAGGCCGTTTTCGGACTGATAAGGTTATTTTCAGTGCTGTTACCTGGAATAAGTATTAACACTTTAATTATGATAAACGTAAAGGTTAAATTTTGACCAAGGTTAAAGCAAATGTGGTTTAGTACTTTTCAGGTTTAA